GGGGGTCTGGGAAGAAAAGGAGTTGGGGGGAGAAATACGCTGGCCAACCAAAAAGATTCACGGCGAATAGAGGCCCCTGTTATGCAGCTAACGTATGTATTATTTGGCACCAAGTTGCAGTATTTGTTGTTATTTTATAATTAAAAAATACTCCCGTACACATTCAGACGATACATTTACAGCTTCTTGGTCAGATATGTCGACAACGACAACTGAGTTGGTGATACGTAGGAATCCTAGTCAACCGAAACTTTTTGGTTGGCCAACATTTTTATTCTAAAACAAAATCCAAACATTTTTTTGTGACTTCCATAAATATAGGCACTTGAATGTTAATCTGTCGCGATCGAAATAGTGTTTACGGATGCCGGAGGAAAGAAGCAAACCGTCACTTTTGAATAATAAACGTTTAATGAAGAATTAATGTTTAATGTTCAAAGTTCAATTTGAAATTGGAGGGGTAAAAAAAATGACAAAATAATGATTGCACAATTTTTTTTTCATCAGATAAATATTTGCGTGGTACTCTCACTGTTTCACAAATGTCTGTACACTACTGGGAGACTTTTACAGTTTTATTTTGTGTCCCTCTGAAAGTGGCCCCTCGGTGCATTTTTTTGGAGTAACCAGCAGAGAGCAGCAACACACTTAAGTATCGTCATTGGTTCGAGCAAAGTGATTGCTGAGCATAACAAAAAACAGTACCTCATGTTTACTTTACAAATACAAAACCAAGTGTAATAATGGGTATGGGAACATATGGGCAAAAAATGTATCACACTTTTGAAAAAAAATCAACACTTAATCAATGACTTAATTTGATGAATTTTAGAAAAAGAAGAATCATCGTATTTATTCGTCTCACTCTCTCTCACACACACACACACACACACACACACACACACACACACACACACAGGCTCACAAAATTTGACATCTGCATTTGATCCATCATCATACAGTAGTACTAGTGAGCACAGCAAACACACTGTGACACATACTGGAGCAGGGGGATATTTAGGCACCCATGGAGTAGTTTGGGGTATCAGCCGCAAGTTGGAGGGATTTGGGGGCCGAATAGTCATGATCCACAGTCCCCCATGGTGGCAGGCAACAATGTTGATCACTTGGCCACGACTGCCACCTAATACTCATTATAATTCTTCAAGGAGAAATGTCCTATTTACGCTTTGCTGTATATTATCTGTTTGGGATAGTTTATGAAGAACGATTTAGTGACGGTAGTGGTTGTTAAAGGGTGAATATTTGAGTGAGGATGGGATTAGGGTGTAGGGCTAGGTGCTTGCAATGTATGCAAAGGTCTTGCATGACATCATGCATGACAATGGTTCAAAGTCTCATGCGAGTTCAGAGGCATATCATCCCTAAATGTTTGGCTGAATTCCAAATTGTGCAAATGTCAGGGCCTGAGCAAAGACAAACAGCATTTTATTCTGTTATGAACAAGCAGCTCACATCCGGGACAGTTTCTTATCAAAGTGTGGTGCAAAGCAAGATACAAATTTGTAGCCATTATGTTCAGATCCCTCATGTATCTCACTTTCTATTCTCAGGATTTTTGCTCCCCTCCCCTGCTGCCGCTGTCAGTCATTCTTTGGTCATTTGGGCCAGAGGTGACTCATCTCAACAGCAACCTCCTTTTTTTCTCACCTCCCTAAAGGCTATAAATAGAATGTTAACCTTTCTAGAGAAACGCAAGTTCACTTAGCACAGATATGACCATGTTATTCAAAACAGGCATACAGTAAGTCCAGTGACACCTTTGCCCTGCTATATATATGACCAAAGGTTGAGACTACTTTGAAACAAAATTGGGACAGAGTGCTAATGAATCCGTTCAATTAGGTTCAGTTGGGCCGACGATGACTTTACCATCATCCGTCAGAACAAAGCCAGGAAACTCGAATCTGATCATAAAGCATTCCAAGTATGAGTGGAAAAACAAAAAAAGATCCTTGCCAGAATCTGCGGATGGTTAAGTGAGGCAGAAACTTCTGCTCAGATGGCGACGTATCCTGTTGAGGATGACGCCAACAAGTCTGTTGTCTCATGGGTAAAGTTGCCATATGTATGAAAAATACAAACAACCTTTGTTGTTTATAAACCATGACAGTAAAACAAAACAAGCAACATAACAATCCGCCAAAGACCAGCGGAACCCAGCAAAGCTAAATACAAGCACACTTGACGACACAACCTGGACAAGAGACACGCGGTTGAGGCAGCTGATTGGGTGACACAAGGCGGAAACAAAACCAAACGAGGAAGACAAAAGTACCTGAGGAAACAAAACTATGAAAGAAAACCAAATGTAATCTTACCAAAAACAGAATTATGACACAACAAAAGGGAAATCATTGTGAATGATTTAGAATCCACTTTCCTTCATCGCGTAGCGTATTATGTCGAGGAATCTGCAGTGGAAATCAGATGACTTCTAGGGTTAACCTCCAGGCCGTAAATCTTCAAGATCTAACATTAATACTCACTTCTAGGGCTTCATCCGAGAACTTGTGGCGGTGGGTCAACTGGCATCTTGAAGCCTAAAAAAAAATAAAATAAAATGAAACCAGTTATGTAACGGCAGGAATCTGGGACGAGAGGAATCCCTGACATCAATTATCAGACTAATGAATAAGAAAAGGGGCTTCTCAAGGTGTTTGTAACTCACATTTACCCATTTAGAGTCCGCTCCTTTGAGACAACTTCTAATGAATAAAAGGCGCATACGCGGATAACGCGCGTGTTTGCTTGACCTCTCCTTTGGCCTCGAATAAATGAACAGTCTATAATCGGCAGCTCATTAAGCAGGTAGCTATATTATAAAAAGGGGCGCGCGCATCCCAATGATAAATTGTACCAGTGATGTAATGCTCAGTGACTTCATCGTGTAGTTTTTGTTTTATGTACCTGTAAAATGCTGTCATTACCCTTTCATCTAAAGCCAACCTGTCGAAGCAGATGGCCGCCTGGCATCTGTTTAAGCGCAATTATTTTCCGAATCAGGGGCTTTTCCCTCATTATGGTGACCACATGTTTGCTTGTTAAACCCCGGCCACTTCAATAGGAACACCTATACATTCATATCAATACTGATACGGGCATCATTGGGGATATATTTTTAAAAGTCTACACCAGGAACTATCCCACACATTACACAACAGACTAATGTCATTCGTTTGGAAAGACATCGCACATCACCCTAATTTTGTGGTTTTGAGCGTTTTGTTTAACTTGCAAGTTTTGTCCTATAGGAATGCTTTGAAATGAAGTTACTGACCTGATTTATAGGTTTATCAGCAATCAGCATTTATCCTTTTACCATACCATATTTGTCCATTTAACATGCTTTGATTTGTTGTAAACTCAGCATAAAAAAATGTGGAACTTTTTCAAAGGCTGGAAAAAAAATGACATTGCTGATGTCACCAGGTTTTATTTTATCCCCCGTTTTCCACCGTTTTGGGAGCAGTCGACTGACAGATGCTGTTTAGTTTGCGTGATGCAAAATGAAAAAAAATGCAGCGCAACTTGAACCAAAGTCTTTCCCAGCTGGTCTTTAGGCTCGCTTGCCTTTAAAAAGGTCTTATGACTTTTGTGCAGCGCAACTTGAACCGAAGTCTTTCCCAACTGGTCTTTCGGCTCGCTTGCCTTTAAAAAGGTCTTATGACTTTTGCATGATTGTCTCATCATCTGACTTGCTATTTTCAGCCTTTCCTCCCCGTTTGCGCATTACATTCTTCTGCAGTCTTTGTTCCTCCTCCCTCCTCGCCCTTGTGAATGAAAATGTCCCAGGCTGTGAACTCTGTGGCTTTCACATCACTGCTGTTATCCAACACTGCAGCCTCTGTTATTCACAGCCTTGTCCTACTTTATCAGCACCTTTACGTTCACCTATGCTACCTACATTGGCCAGATTGCTTCATTCTAACTGCACAAAACGCTTGCAACACGGGCAGGCTTGCATATATGAAAGTGTTTGACGAGTGCCTTGAACTTCTTTTCCTGGAAATGTGAGCCCTGGCATTACATAAAGTGATGAAGACAGGATATTCATCACAAAATGGTTGCCAAACCCAGAAAACAGGTGAGCTATGATTGGTCGGTCCCTGAGTCCTGCTAACATTTGGAAAATTTGGTCAATATGGGCCGTGTTGGGACGAAATGTCCACAAGATGCAGATTTAAATCCGTCCGTAACTACCACACCCATTGGATACCATCACAAAGTCAATACGGATGGAATGGAGGGGAACTACCCTAGCTTAACGAAATCCAAACCACAAAGTCCTGAAAAAAACTCCAATATCTTTTTAGACAATCAGAACCGTGAAGACAAGGGCGTCAAACTCATTTTTGCAGGGGCCACATGAAGGAAGATCTATTCCCAGCAGTCTTTGGGAAGTAGGCGTGGTACACCCTGAACTGGTTACCAGCCAATCACAGGGCACACATCGACGAACAAACGTTCGCGCTCACATTCACACTGAGGGACAATTTTGAGTGTTCCATGAACCTGCCATGCATGGTTTTTGGAACGTGGGAGGAAACCGGACTGACCCGGAGAAAACCCACGCAGGCACAAGGACACACTCAAAAACTCCAACTGATCTCTTTTCAGTTCCTTCCTTACCGGAAGTCTGTGGACACATTGAGGTCACTGCTCAATCATATTGTTTGTAAAAATTAGATAAAAGGTGCCCGATCCCAGATTAGCGCTCACGTTTGATTGAGCCTAATCCTCAAAGCAGGCAGTGTCAGCAAAGAATTATGATTGCAGATGATGCACATTCACATGCACGTTACACTGCCTTCATAACCTGCTGGCGTCATGGGGGTAGTGGGGGAAGGAATCCATTAAGGTTATTTGAAGACTATTTTTAGCCGAATGTATCCAAACAAGGGGATGAATAACATAACAAT